AAGTTATCAAACATAATTACTGAAGCTCAAAGAAAAGAAAATAGAGTTTTAGTTATAAAATTCCTTTCTATACTGTAAAAAGCCTTTTATTTCTCTGGTTCAGAGCAACTGCTTACTACCAGTTCGAGTTAATAGCCACAGTACTCCAATATGAGATACTCACTGTTGTGTGACATAAAGTGGGGCATAATCTGTAATGGTTATTAAGGATTTCAAATATTGTTAACTACAGATCCTGTTGCTATTACTATATTTTATCCTTTATAATGTTCTACAAAGGCTAAAACTAAATCAAATAAGTAAAAAAATCAAAAAGAAAAGAATAGACACAAGAGTTAATGTTTTAAAACATATTATTATTTATTTTCAGAACAGAAGAATAATTTAAGGATATATATTCTTCAATTTCTTACTCTATACAATGTTACTGCATACACTGTATTTGTGTTTCTCTGTGTTTTGGTTTAATTAGCATTAAAATCCTCTCATTTTTAGAAGTCTTAAAGAACTAAAGCTAGTCCTTCAAATTTTTCAGAGTAAGATTTACGATTTACCAGAGTAAGATTGAGGGTTTACAACAGTAAGATTTGGGATTTACTAGAGTAAGATTTAGGAACAGTTCTTCATAGTAAACACAAAGACAAAGCATTCACCTATATTTAATGGATGTAAAAATGCTTCAGTATTAATTTAGAACACCTATTGTGTTACAAAGAAAAAATTTATTTATGCACATTCTTTTGTTGGTTATCATATTACTTTGCTGGAATAAATAAAATTAATTTAGTGTATAACACTGACAGATAAAAATGAAAGTTTGTAAGTATTTTTGAAATATTCAACACAGAATTCTTTTTTTTTTATTTAAGAGAAAAAAAGGTGGCAGAAACCAAAAGCAAAAGAGAATACAGTGTGAAAATTTAAGGAACAGTAGTTCCTAAATTCACTGATGTATTTCTTTCTTATAAAACTAAGCTTCAACCATAATCTTCAGAAATTAGTTAGTTTTACTTCATTCCCAATATCAGCAAAGTCATGTGATCTGTATTTTGAGTACCTTTTCTTTCCAATTTCCAAGGGGTCATTCATTTCTGAGAGCCTAAAATACTGTATTAAACAAAAGGATACAGTACTTCAGTAATTTTTGCAGTATCCAGTAAGGTTTTTTTTTTTTTTTTAATTTTTTACTCTTACTTGTTGGATCTGAGAAATATAGTATTTAGATTAACTAAGATACTAAAATTCTTTCACTGCATAATTTTGCCCATGATCACAGCCTAATTTTTTACCAGATCCTCACATTCTGGCCAGACAAATGACTCTCAGAATTACTAAAGCTTTCTGTTCATTAAGAATTCTGTAAGAACTGATGTACAGGAGTCACAAATAATGCACATAAAGAGTGCACATTTCATATTTTCATACCTTTGAGCCAGCCATTCCATTTCGCTGAAAAGGTGGCCCTTTTTCAGATGTGTTGCAGAGTTTATAAAAAGGAGGTGACTATTTTTCTTCTCACTGTCAATTTTCTATCACCATAATTAACTCTTCCTCTTAATATTCTTTCACAAAAAACTACACGAGGACACTTTCTGTTGTGTAGTCTGATTGCTATAAACCAAGAATGTTTTAGGCTAGAATATCTCTTATAAATCTACTAACAGGGCACATGGCACAAAGAAACATAATATACAACTTTGCTAAATTAAGTTCAAGAAAATACTTTTTAAAATGAATTATTTAGTAATTGACACAAGAAAATGTTTCATAAAATTATTATATTGTTTTTACTTTTGAAACCTAAAGCTATTTGCTCAGGATTATTTTCCAAATTTACTAAAAAAGAGTTACTCAACTCCCAATAAAATGGCCAGAGATGATTTTGTTCACAGGCATGCTCTGAATACCTACCCAAATAACTCCAATGGTAGGATACCACTGTCTAAATGGCTACTTTAAATGGAGAGGAGAGAGAAAGGGAGAGGGACACAGACTGACCTATGGAAATATGGATTAATTTCCTATGTTTTACGTAGTGCTTTATAGGTCTGTATAAATAGTTTTAGTCTTTACATTAAGACAATATTTCCAACTAGCATTACTCCTAGAAAACACATTTTCACAGAAACATCAGATAAATTTTATACTACAAATTCTCTACTATGATTATATAGTTTTGTCACTCACAAGATATTCATAAATCAACTTAAGTTGTGTCTAAAACAATTAAAAATGGCCACTTAAATTAGCATGGGTCGATGAAAGGGAATTTTAAAATTATATGCTACTTCAAATACATTTAATGAAAAAAATTTAAAGTGTGTCTCAATAATAGTTTAAATATTATAAACTGATATATGGGCCCCATGGACTTTTAAGTTATTTAATCTTTTATATCTAGATCATTTTAACTTTTGCATTTTAGTAGTTTCTTTTAAAGTTCTTCTTTCTTAGTGATTATTTCCTTGCTTGTTTTAGTCTGTAGGTAGCATGAAGGAAAACTCCATTAAATAGTTAATTCTTTCATTACAAATAATAACTTAAATACTATTTCTGTCTATTCCCTTTTATTTAGGGTTAGGATTACGTTATACTGCCTCATCTACATGCATTATAAAATTAGTCCCTGTTCTCCAGTTTTCAAATATTCCTACTGTTAACAATTTCCATATATGTTTCTTGGGGATAATCTTGGGGATAATCTAATATAGCTCATATTATCCATAATATTTCAATTTAATTATGTATTTAATCTACTTTTTAATGTCTGAATTCATATGTTAGCTCCCCCTCTATAATTTGATTTCACAGGTCATCAGTCTTATTCTTACAGAGCAGAATCTTAGAAAAAGTAAAAAATAACTTGCTGTGAAATAACCATCCATAATTGTTTGAGATTAGGGCATGTGTGTCTAAGGGTTTTTGTTGTACTATTTCCTAGCTCTGTGACCTTGCAAAAATTATTTAATATATCTGAGTTTAAATTTTGCATCTATAAATTAGGATAAGTTACACTTAATATATAGGACTAATGTGAGTAAAATGTTTGAAGCAAAGTCTAGTATGTGATAAATACTAAGTTTTGATTGCACTTTCCTTTACCCTGTCATTTATTTTCTAATACAGTTTTCTCTTTCCCTTAGTCCTCTTTTTCCTTCTGGTAATACTAACATTCAGTGCCCAAACTGTGTATTTTATACTACCATTAAAATTATCAATGGGAAAAATCTAAATTAGTCAAATATAACACAAAAGTGAAAAGTACTCCCACATGAGTCACAATTTTCTTAGCACGAGAATCTATTATTCACTACTAAACTAATGTTATTATAAAACACCAAATATCTGTTGGTATTTTATGTTATTTTTTTATAACTGGGATTCACCATTGGAGAAACAGAAGTAAGGCATATCTCAAAGGACCATTGCAAAAAATAAAATGTGAAATGTTAGGGACTGTGTCTATCAAACAGAAAACTGTAGTGTAAGTGACACTTCCTCCAACAATTCTGCTCTATCACTCCATAACACATTAAAAGTAGTTTAGGAAAAAAATCAAAACCAGACTGACAGCGGCAATTTCACCTGTGGCTGTAAGTCTATGCCTCTCCTGGCTACCAGTTTTCTCTGAAATAAAGCTTGATCAACATGCACATAATTAGCAGAGGAGGTCAAAACCTCCCCCCCCACAAATGATTTTTATGTACGATACTATGAAGCCAGTGGTAAAATTTTATCTATTTTTAGTAAACAAAAAATAGGAGTTCTGAACTATCTATTAATTGGTTAAGAACTTAGAAATTGTTTTGTTTACTGAGAATATATATAAATATATATTTTTTCAAGTTATATAGATACTGAAAGAGTATACCACATGAAAGATTCATTAACTTCTTAATGACAAACACTACATATTGGTGGTTACTAATTTTCATAGAAAAAGGAAAAAAATCACTTCTTACATTAAAAGGTTATTTTTCAGAGGTAGTTTAATGAACTATCTACTAGAAAAAAAGAAAATAAATAATAAAATCACAGAATATAAAATAAATCTAAAGCAAATAAAGTGTTAAAGAGGAAGATTCAACTCTTCATAGGAAATTTAAAAATGCACATTTAATGAATAACTTTTGATTAAAATATTAAATTCAAACAACACTTTAGTAAGATGATAAAAAATTAAAATCATATCTAATTTCCAGATTTAAATTTGGAGATATACTACAGGAAACAAGGTAAATAATATCAACAAGAATATGGTACCAAAATACAATTTCCAAGAGAAAACGTTAACAGAGATGTAGCAGAAAACATCTGTTTTTATCACTGAATATTTTTTTAAATAGAAAAAAAAAAAAACCTAAAAATCTTCAAAAAGAGCTCTTTCATTTTGGTTGATATAAAAAAGTAGTATAAAAAGTGCAGAAAAGGTAAAACATAAAAATTCAAGTACTATCATAGGTAAAATGTTACTTTCTGGAAAACAGTATTACAAAAATTATATATTTTTGTAAGCTTTCAAAAGCAACTATTTCCAGTTAACAAAAGATAAGCACGAAGTATCTTTCTGCCAAATTAAAATACTATTTTAGTAGAGTCCTAGTGTATTAAAATCCAAATTGTTAATATTTTTACAATCTGCTTATAAAACTTAGTTTTATTTTTCCAAATTCATAATTACTGTATGTAACATTTATAAAGAAAAATGTCCTGATATTACATATCGAAATTTATTTCTGAGGAAAATTTGTATAAGCAGAATTCTAACATTACTATGTGTAAAACACAACAGTTACTATAATATAGAAGAAAACAGAATGTTTACATATAAGTCCCATCAACTTGTCATTTATAGTTTGATCTTTTCACATGATTTTAAACTTTATACCAAAAAGCATATAAGAGAGTACCAAAAATCTGTTTTTTCATTTATCCCAAGTCCCTAAAACCTAATGAGGATGAGAATTTGTCTTTTTCATTTTTAACATACGTAAACTTACCCCATTTAATGGATACGTCTTCCATCCTAGTTCATCCAGCACAGTAGTTGTATCAAGCAACACAACTGAAAGTGAACAGATAAAGCTTGCATGAATTTCTCAACTAAAAAATACATTAAAGTTATTTGAATAATTAATATATTATAATACTTGTTATTTAAATCATCAATAATCATTAACATCTTATTCATCACATTTCACAAGTTATAGTATTCAAAATTTTTTCCATATGTATGAAATATGTGTGCATAATGACAGCATTGAGTCATGATTTTTAAAATGCATGGTGATAATTTCAAATGCATTTAGGTTTAACAATGCTGAGTAAAATAGCTAAATGATACAATTTAAAGAATCATTTTTATTAACAGATTCTTAAAACTAATATTAACTTTAAACTGAGGAAATATACAACTTTGCTTATTTTCCTATTTTAACAGTCTTTTCAGTCAACATTAACAAAAAACACATTTAAAAGGTTTCTTTTTAATATTATTAAAGTGCATTAATAAACAGCAAAGTATGAAAAGAACACTATGCTCAAGAGCAGATGCCATTACTGCAAATAATAGGTAATATACTATTTGCTAAAAGATGCAAAAACAAAATAAAAGCTACACCACTTTCTTTCACTAACCTAGAGTAACCATAATCTGGTCAAAAAAAAATCAACTAAACAAATAACAAGAATAAACTATATTAAATGATAAAATGGACAATTATAAAATACACTTGTGATTAAGCCAAGGTTGAAATGCAAATCTGGAAGAATTCACAAAGAACATTAAACCTGAGCTAGGCGAGAACAAGATGGTCTTCAATTAGATGTGATGACTGACAGACGATTTTAAAAATTCCTCTGGAGTCAGAAATAGGAGTGGGGATTATATGGGCAAAGTAGGAGGACAGAAAGAAATCTAGAAAGACAGAGATGAGCTAAGAGTATTTTTGCTATGTTTACAGTAGAAAAATATGTAACTATCAAAACTTAGCAGCTCTATACTTTTTCCAGCGCTGGATCACAGGCACAAGGTAAGGCAGGCAATGGACTACACACTGAGGAGACAATGCTTATGTAGCTCATTATTGGGTTCCGTTCACCTTGCCAATGAGGAAGGATTCTTTAAGTGCAGTTTTTAAAAATGCCATTGTTCGTTCATTAATTACCACCTGTTTGTTTGGGTTTTTTTTGTCTACAAGCATTTTGTAGTTCTACTTAATTGAGCCACAATGTATTTCACTGACATGTTATAAAAGATGCACCTAGTATTAAATTTCTCTGGTAAACGCTATATATTCATTGCTGAACATTCAAACTGGTAAAACTCAGCTATCCTTTTTCAATTAAATTTTATGTAGAAAATTCTCAAATGTTTTAAGAGAAAATAGTTTTTAAAATCATCACTCATTATCATTTTATTAAACACCAATTTATGTTCTATTTATTTCATCCATAGCTACTCTCCCAGTGCAAGACTTTTTGAAGCAAATTTCAGTAGTTAAATCATTTACTCTGTAAAACTGTCACGTGTGTATTTCTAAAACAAAGATTTCTGCTAGAATTATATTTTAGTACATTAACACAGATAGCGATTACTTAATGTCATCAAATACTTTTAATTTTTTATTAATTCCCCAGAAACCAAAATCAAAATACTGCTCTACATTACAATGAGATTGCTTTTAAAAATTTCTTATTATAATTTTCGGGTAGACTAAAGTGTGTTCAGTATGTTAAAGGTGTATTTCTATGTACTGTGACAAAATCTCCATATCTTTGTAAGCTATGACTATGATCAAGCTATAAAATACTCTCCATCTCCCTTAAATGTTCCTTGTGGCCCTCTACAGTGATCTATTTTTCTTCCCATCATCAGGCAACAACTAATCTAATTACTGCTCCTCGAGATGACTTTTCCAAAATATCAAATGCAGAAACAATTTACCATATATTCTTTTGAGTTTGGTTTCTTTCAGGTATAATGCACCTGAGAACCATTTTTACTGCCTTGGAAGCACTAATAATTACATTTTATTGCTGAAATTGTTTCAGTGTATGGGATTTGCTAGCTGATAAACATGTGAGTCACTTAATACGTGTGTTTAAATTTAAAAAATTTACAGTAAATGATGCACTGCCTTTATTCACCCTCAAAAATATTTTCTCTTCATTCTTACCAGTTTCAAAAGTCCTCTCTTGTGAGTGTCCTAGTTGTGCTATCATGGTTGTCCAGATGTCCTGAGTCAATTTAAAATGGTTATCTTCCATGGCCATTTTGTCTTTGACGCTAAGTCAGATTTTGCACTGTACCAGGTCTGATGAATAAAGTGGTTATGAACACAAGGTAGTGTTTTCATGAATCTGACTCCCACAGATGGCACCTGGCAGCAGCATTTACTCTAGCTTCAGTCACTCCTCCAAAGACACTCATGAAAAAGGACTTGCTGGACAATTTCAGAAAATGGCAAGAACGATAGAACACGTCTGTTCAAAATGGGGGAGAGGAAAAATGTGTAAATGTTGTTGTAAAAAAGAGAGGAAAAAGTGCTCTAAAGGATACAACTGCAAGTGCATTTAGGGGTGTTAAGATAGATGACCATATTACTAAGTTTTTGTTAGATCACTGAACACATCTGTTCAAACAGTCCCACTGTTTGAATGTCCACCTTGTATCCTTTAATCCTGTAACTTGAACAATTCTTTCTAAGATGACAATATGTAATCTATTAACTAGTGATTTTTTACACTTTTTAAATTCTGTATTACTTGTACCCTTATATTGTTCTGTTTATTTTTTCTCCTTTAAATAATTTTTTTTAAAAAATGGGGGAGAGGATATTTTAAGGGACATCAATGGTAATGGGTCTTTCACTGTAATTTCTTTAAATTTAAACATTCACATATTTTTTCAAGTACCACTTGCATATAAAGTCATAGTAAATTTTCACTTGTGCGTTTTTATATGAACTTAAGGCTATTATTACTCCAGGGGAAATAATTAGGTTATGATTCCTGGATTATATGCAAAATACTTACTTCTAGAACTATCTTTCAAAATGAATTCCCAAATGGTATGAAATGTTATTTTCCCAACAGCAGTTTCTCCACGTATCAGGTTGATTGTCTAGTATTTTAAACTCCTTCTAACAGATATGCCACACAGTATCTCATTATTTTAAAATTAATTTTCCTTAAAGAAAAACAATAAATCATCACTTTTAACATTTAAAAAATTTATTTACTATGAAAGAGAAAAAAACTAGAACCTTTTGTATTACATGAGATACCACTAAACATGCTTTATCATTTACTGTATTTCCTTTAAATTAGTAGGTTAAGAGGCTGGATCAAATTCCTGTTCAACCTACTGTTATTTTTATATTTAGTTAGCCAAATTCACTGGTGGTCTTTTGTAGGCCTAATATTGGCAAAATAACAAAGAGGTATCAATTTCTACTAGGGACAAAACAAAAGCAGATGGGAATGAATTTTCAAAGGGCTACACTAACAAATAAGTTGATCTTAGATGAGGGTAGTGACTGAAAAGCTTAAACTTTAAAGTATACTTAAATTCACACATCCAAATGTTAGTAGATATCTCATGGTAGCTTTTGCAGAATGTTAGAAAAACATTATTTTTAAAACTGATAAAGAAATTGAGAAGAACAAAACATGCATTTTGCTTTCTCTGTACAAACTATTTCTGCTTAACAAAATAGTTAATGAAGGACATTTCTCTTATAGAAATACTCTAGTTAATAAATGAAGAAGAATGAATGAATGTAGTACACCATTTGCTACTCCTAATGAATTAATATATCTTGCTAATTGTTTTCCAAGGCTGTTAAAATCACAGAAAGAAATAAAAGGAGAAATCAAAGGCTATAGTTTTTAAAAAGTGTATCTTTATTGTTCAATTTACTCCATCTGAACATAAAATTAAAAACCTTAGATGTAACAAAAATAATAAAGTTCAGGAAAGGTAAGATATAAACAACACACACACATACACACGCACACACACACACACAATCTGGGTTCATTCAGTGCAACAGAAATAATTCCACAAATTAGAGAAAAACCTGAGTACATTGCTATAACAATGATGAAAAAAAAACTCTATTTTGTTATTGAATAGAAATACTTTTTAAGCTGTGGGATAAAGTATTTTAAATAATTCAGAAGTCCGTAATATCAGTATGTACTTTGTTACTCTAAAATGGAACTTTAATTATGAGTGAATTTTTACTTCTGAAATACTTCCCCAGTTCCCTAACCAGCAGTAAAAGTGACAATACTGACTCTCAATCATTGTAGTAATGAATGTCTATATACATTCTTCTTTAATCCCCAAAATGCTCCATCATTTTTCCATTTCAAACAAATCGTTATGAAACCTGTATATCAAAGATACATATGCTTGCCTGTGCTCATTTTAACACTATTCACAATAGTCAAGAAATGGAAGCATTTGATAAATTGGATAAAAAGATGTAATATGCATACAAAAATACTCCTCAACCCCAGGAAATAATGAAGTCCCGTGTGGTAACAGGATAGAATGAAAAACGCCAGGTAGAGAAACATGAGTGTTTCATAAACTCACTCATATACAGAATCTCAAAAACCAATCTAGAGAAGTTGAGAGTAAAACAGTGGCTACCAGAGGCCACAGAAGTCTGGGGAGAAGAAATGAGGAAAGGCTGATGAAAAACAGGAACTAAATTACACTCAGACACGAGAAAGAAGTCTCGATGTGCTACTGCAGATTAACTACTAAATATCAACAATATTCTACAAGGAAGTTATCAATGCTTTCATTATACAATAAAAATTTTAATGAGACAAATTTGTTAATCTGACTTAAAGATTAAATAATGTATTAAAATATTACACGCTAGCAACTGGATAGGAACAACTGTTATGTTTTTCTATAGCACTTAAAATACATTTAAAATGAATACTTAAATTGAAAAACAACCATATTTTATCATCCTACTTTATCTGGTTTTTATAAAGAACAATGATTTTTCTCTATTTTAGTAAGAATCTAAATTTCCTTTA